GTATTGGTGTGAAGATTAATTGTAATCTGTATACCAATTGCCTGGGCATTGTGTGGCACATCATAGGCCATCCAAAAGTGGCAGCTACAACAATCACCTTGCTATTTATGAATGAATTTGAGAAATATTGGAGGCTGTACACATTTACCCATATTTTTAAGCAAAATACATTTTTGAAAGCACACTATTATATCATTGTAAACGATATTACTCCCTATAAATGCTGATGTTTCAGTTATCAATCTGTTATTGTCAGAAATAGCAGAGTGACATAATACATTCTGTGAGCAGAGAGGCATTTAGGTCTTTGTATGGTAGAATTAAAATAACAAAGTGGCAAACTTTGGGAGTGCTGCTTTCCTTCTTTGTTTTATAGCCATTTGCTATGATTTTTTTTTTCTGAAGGTAAATGTTAAGGGAAGTTTGTGATTAGAGATTTCACTCAAAAAGTCATCTATTATATTAGTCATGTGTTTTATTCAGTATAGCCATTGAACTGCTCTGAAAAACCAATTTATATGTGATATCGAGGAAATAGCTCTGGGCTCAGAACCAGATTAAGCAAATGAATTGGTGTCATCAGGATTCTTCTCAGTTCTGCTCAAAGCAGCTGTCTGTGGCCAAAAATGCTGGAGGATTTTAGAAATTGTTCTTCCAGGAGATGCTGCACGTCCTGGTGCTGCCCGTGTGGTGCTCATTCTTTCTGTGCTAGTAATACCAGCAGGTCCCAGAGTGGGCTGGGAATCAGAATCACCTGGAGTGACTTTATAAGTGTTCATCACAGGAATACTGAGTCAGGATCCCTATGGGAAGAGGTTTACAGAGGATTCTGAAGCCATCCGCTGTGCATTAGTCTCAACAAAATGTGTGGGACTGATAAATTGTTCAAGCATCACAGGTGGAATAAGCAGAGGTTCAAATTTGAGTCTTCTGTATATAAGGGAGTGACACCTAAAATGAATTTGGACTTCTTTGACCTCAGTTTCTCTGTTTGTAAAACAGGGCAAATAATCCCGCTGAATGTATTGGTGTGAAGATTAATTGTAATCTGTATACCAATTGCCTGGGCATTGTGTGGCACATCATAGGCCATCCAAAAGTGGCAGCTACAACAATCACCTTGCTATTTATGAATGAATTTGAGAAATATTGGAGGCTGTACGTGGCAAATAAAGATAGAAAAATTACAATGAATATCTCAGCCTGAATCAGGCACAGTATATTGACCAATTAGTGTCTTGTTTTGCTATTATCTGCCTCTCCTTTTCTAGTTCTCAAAAGTCTATGGCCCTGTGTTCACTGTGTACTTTGGCACGAAGCCCATTGTGGTGTTGTATGGATATGAAGCAGTGAAGGAAGCCCTGATTGATATGGGAGAGGAGTTTTCTGGAAGAGGCAGTCTCCCATTGGTTGAAAGAGTTAATAAAGGACATGGTAAGTGTGCACATGCCTGTGTCAGTATCGGCAATGGAGGTGGAAGGACTTAAAACACAGAATCATCTCCTCAGGCAGAGCTTGGACCAACCACGTAGCTGCCAAGTGTCAGTTCACTCTTCCTTGCCTCCTAGTTTCTGCTACCTCTCTCTTAGGAATCATTTTAAGCAATGGAAAGAGATGGAAGGAGACCCGGCGCTTTTC